GACAGAGACGATTCAAAATCACAAGCAGGATATTTGTTTTGCCTGAATGGCGGAGCTTTTAGCTGGAAGAGCTTCAAGGAGGATACAACCGCCGATTCGACTACAGAGGCTGAGTACATAGCTGCCGCCGAGGCAGCTAAAGAAGCTGTTTGGATCAAGAAGTTCATTACTGAACTTGGAGTGGTTCCTAGTATTAATGACCCTATCTCGTTGTTTTGCAACAACACTGGGGCCATTGCACAGGCAAAGGAACCGCGATCTCACCAGAAAACCAAACATATTGTACGACGCTATCACATCATACGAGAAATCATAGACAGAGGAGATGTGATGATTTGCAAAGTAGATACTGACGACAACATAGCCGATCCCTTGACTAAGCCTTTAGGAAAGCTAAAGCATGAGAGTCACACTAGGTCCATGGGCATTCGACCGATGCCAGATTAGCCATAGTGCAAGTGGGAGATTGTTGGAGTTGTGCCCTCATGGCCAACTGTTTATCATTATTCTATTATGTATAGGTAGATATAATATGTTTACACATCTCATGCCGATGTTTATCAGATAGTGTTATTCTGCCGATGAGACTAACATCTTGAAATAAATATTTATCTAAATGTCCATAGTCGAGTATTAACGAGAGTGGGATATCGTTAATGCATGTGAGACTAGTGTGTGTTGGATGTTTGACTTAGTCACATGGTCAATGACGGTGTGTTCGCATCCGCACATGGGCAGATATTATCTAGAGATAATAGGATTCCGGACTGACCCATTCTAAAGATGTTGCTTGAATTTTTAGTTCATGCTCTAAGCATCTTTAGCGCGACCACGGGTGTAACTATCCTTCGACATGAAGTATTACGTTTTCTGCATATGTGAACCTGCATACTTTGATGCATTGTCCTAAGCCATATGAAATAAGGATGGTATACAGGCTTTGTTTTGGGTATGCCGCAGCGCGTATTCAGAAACGTAGATTACGTACATAGGATTTGTCACTACTCTATTTAAACATATTAATGTCTTATGGGGCCCACTGATAAGTTATGACTAAGGAAATTGCATGGCCATGCTGAGATGCTTTTATGACGTCTATTCCTATTAGTCGGACTTGATAAATCAGTGAATGACTTAATGGATACAAGTTGGATTTCATTAATCCCTTGCATTAAGTTTCGGTGATATATTTACATATATAAATACCGAAATATATATATATATATATATATATATATATATATATATATATATTATATGTTGAATATTTTATTTTGGTTTGTCATTTTAATTATGAAAATAATTATTTTGACATAAACTAATTAAAGTATATTTGTATACTTGTTTAAAAATGATATGGGTATTTTATTTGATTTAAAATTAATTTTATATTAATTTTTGGTGTCAAATAAAATACACTTTGAACATTTGAGAGGAGAAGAATTTTGAAAATACTTCTCACAATCAAAACTTTCGGCCATATCATAAAGGATTGACAAATTTAACAAATCAACATTGATTAATTGTTAATCATTTTAACCTTTAGCTTAATGACAAAGTTTGATTATACACTTTGTTTTTTTTACACGGCACATTGAATAAAATGGATGTATGTGAACATTATACTTTAACACATTTATTGCAAGTGTGTCATTCGGCCATAGTATTTTCTAGTGAGAGAAAATTTCTTTTGTGTTCCATTAATATCATTTTGTGTGTAGAAAATATCTATAATATTTTCTAAATATTATTAGAAATATTTTCTATAGAAATATACAAGATTATTATTATCCCAGTTTTAATCTTTATATTTTATACTACTATAATCTTTACTAGCATAAAGATTGTGGTAGACTCCGGCGTTGTTCGTGTGTCAAAGTTGGAGACCGGACGCTTGAACGGTTACGTTTGCACTTTCAACGCTCTTCCTACGACTTCTTCGTTTTTACCGCTTACGGAGAAAGGTATGAATTCTTACTTACTATAAGTTTTAGTACGTGATTCTGGGCAAGATAATCATGTTAGGATGTTAAAACTTTTGTATTCCGCTGCCTATCCTTGCATGGTTACCTTTCACCATTCCTTTAGTTGTACTTTGAGGCTCTTCAGCTTGTTGGAAAGTCCAAGCATTCCTCCATGATGAAAACCAGTGTTCCACACCTTGGTGATCATATGTTGCAAACTGTGATGGTTACCCCAAGCATTAATGAACCTGAAGGGCTTTGGTCCCCCTTTATCTGTTTTGATGCATGAGAGGAGGATAGGATTATGATCAGAAGTAGCTTTACTCAGATGTTTAGCATAGATATCTTCAAAATCATCCATAGTAAGGTTGTTCACTAACACCCTGTCCAGCTTCCTGAGCACTTTGCCATTGCTTCTAATCCCTGACCAAGTGAATTTGGTGCCAATGGTATGTGGGGTTGAGAGAGAGCATTGAGAGATACAATCCCTAAAATCATCCATATCAGATTGTAAAGGTGGATTTTTTCCTTTATGCTCAGATAAATCAGCAATAATATTAAAATCCCCCCTACAACCCAGTGCATGTTTTGAGGGGTTAGATTCCCGAGCTCATCCCATAAGATATTCCTATCTCTCCCATTGTGTTTTCCAAATATATATATATATATATATATATATATATATATATATATATATATATAAAATAAAAACATGCCTAGAGAGAGACTCACGCCGGAATCCTCTGGTTTTCCGGGAAGTTATCCGGCAAGTCACCATGAGAAATCATTCAATAAATTTCCTAAAAGTTTCTATAGCCAGCATACACAACCTCAAGTTAAGAAATTTTTCAGTCAGATTTTTCAAGAAGAAGGAAATAAAGTCCTGGGAAAGATTGAGGCTACATTCAATGAGATGCCATCAGCCACATTCACCCTTGATGAAGAAAGATTGCTTGGCAGTAAGCTGCAGTATGCCCTAGTTGGAAGAGGAGACAGATTCATCAATCTCAACATTCTCAAGAGCTTTCTTGAAGGGATTGGGTTCCAGGGAGGATTCAAGCTACGTAGACTGCTCAACAATGATGTACTTATTATCTTCCACAAAGAGGAGGAATACCTGAGATTCTTCATTAGAGGTACATGGACTATCAACCATATTAAGTTTTATGTTTCCAAATGGTCCCCTGAGTATTCACCCCACCAAGACTGCTCTGTAGTTCCCTTATGGGTTACCTTCAGCAAACTCCCCACACATTTTATTAACCCAGTGGCATTATTCACCATTGCTAGCACCATTGGCAAACCTTTACTCATGGATTTCCAAACTGCCAACCTTATAAGAACCAATGAGGAAAGGTGTTGTATTGAAATAGACCTTGCAAAACCACTCCCCTCTCAAATTCATATTAGAATTTGTCCTAGAGATCTAGTCCTACCTTGCAAGTTTGAAAATGTTCCAGGATTCTGTCAGCAGTGCCACAAGCTTGGCCCTGGTAATTTTATTTGCAAGATTCATGGTCATTTTCAAACATCAGCCCCTAAATCAAGCAAGCCAGATAAGAATCATGCTACAGATACAGGAGAGTGGACTGTGGTTAAAAGTAAAAAATCTATTCAGAAGGATGCCAGAGTAATTTGGGATACGGGGGGTCCCACTAGTGATAGATCTAAGAAGAGTGATGGCTGGATATTAGATAATCAATCTAAGAAGTGCCAGGCAACACACTCTCTCAAGAGGGGCCAGGCAACTTCCTCTAAAGTTACTGTGAGGGATGGCTGGACATTGGGAATAGACTATCCCAAGAGGGGCCAAGCTACATCCTCAGTGGGCACAGTTGGGAATGGCTGGACATTGGGAAATAATTTATCCAAGAGGAGCCAGGATACATTCACCAAATCCAAACAGATATGGGTTCCATTACTCAATTCAGAAACCAAGGGGCAACAGGATATAGTGGAATCTGGGACCCATATTCCAGTTACAACAACTTCAAGCCAAAAGAGTAAGGGTTCGGTGATAGCTTTTGACAGTCCAGACCCTACTGGTGTGCAGAAAAATAGTTTAATTATTTTCAACTCTCCCTCTCAGAAGGATATTGTTTCTGACTCCCACTCTCCATTTTGGGGTCTTCATTCCATTTTCAAGGTTCAGGATCACTTTCCATCATTCTCAGCAGCCAGAAATTTTGCCACTAACTTATTTCTGCAGAATAATGAGAAAGGTAATTCCAACAACAACAACAAAATCAGATTCCAGAGAGGATACTCAATGTATTCACATAGACTTCTGGTGCCCTATCATCAACAACAAAATCAGATTTTTCTGCTATCTATGGGGGTCATTGCTCTACTGTCAGAAGAATACTCTGGGAAGATCTCATCAATGCTAGCACAGATTCCCACCCTTGGATTGTGGGTGGTGACTTCAACGCCATCCTTAGCCTGGATGAACATAAAGGCTCCTCCTCTCCTTATTATAAGGACTTTGGAAGATTTTAGTGATTGCATTGATGCTTGTGGTCTAACAGCCCCACCTTTCACTGGTGGAATCTTTACTTGGAGTGGCACAACAAGTAAAGGAAAGCTTTGGAGAAGGTTAGACAGGGTGCTTCATAATCAATCAGCTATTGAGGCCTTCAATGAAATCAATCTCACCCACCTTAGCAAGACAACCTCATATCAAAAGCCTTTGCTAATTCAATGCAAACAAGAAGGGTTTAAGGGCCCCAAACCTTTCAGGTTTCTTAATGTTTGGACTACACACCATAGTTTTTTGGAAGTGGTCAGTAATTACTGGGCACACAGCCCTAGAATAGGAGGAATGACTGGCTTTGCTAGTAAACTTAAGGGTTTGAAACCTGTTCTGGCCCACTGGAGCAAGAATCATTTTGGAAACATTTTTAAGGAGGTTAAGGATAATAAAATTAAAGCATCCAGAGCCCAAGAGGATTTTGAAAATGACCCAACAGAGGAAAAGAGAGCTCAGGCTAATCTAGCCTCAGCTAATCTAATCCTTAGCCTTAACAAAGAAGTGGACTTCTGGAAACAAAAGGCTAACATCAAGTGGATGTCAGAAGGAGATTGCAATTCCAAATTTTTTCATTCATTTGTCAAAAGCAAAAGAAGAAAACTTGCAATCAAAACAATCCATGATGATCAAGGCAACATTTTGACAACCCAAGAGGATATTTGCAGAGAGGCTATTCACTATTTTTCTAATTGCTACACCACAGTCACTCAGTCAGATGAAACCATTATTTCTCAATTCATTGATCAAGTCATTGATGACAGAGACAATCAACTCATCTGCTCTATTCCATCTGAAGCTGAAATTTATAAAGCTATTATGAATCTTAATCCTGATAGTGCAGCTGGCCCGGATGGTTTCAATGGGTATTTCTTTAGAATTTGCTGGAAGATTATCAAGGTAGATGTCATTCTTGCATGTCAGGAATTCTTCTTGGGATTTCCAGTCCCCAGATCATTTGGTAGCACATTTATTACCCTCATTCCCAAGATTGAAGATCCGAAAGGGTTTGGAGACTACAGACCCATATCCCTCTCCTCCTTCATGAGCAAAATTAATAAAAAGATCCTAGCTACCAGATTGGCCACACTGCTACCCAAATTTATCTCAGAAGAGTAGACAGGATTTCAAAAGAACAAGGGTGTTGAGGAACAAATTCTATTGGCTGAAGAAATGGTGCACATGCTAGATAAAGAGGTCAGGGGGGACAATTGCATTGTCAAGTTGGATATGGCAAAAGCCTTTGATAGGGTGGAGTGGAGCTATCTTATTAAAATTTTGGACAAACTTGGGTTCAACTTACACTCACAAAAGCTGCTAATGGCCAATCTAGTAGGTTCACATCTCTCTATTCTTATAAATGGCACACCTGTTGGTTTCTTTCAAATGAAGAGAGGGGTGAAACAAGGTGATCCTCTCTCACCTCTTCTCTTTTTGATTAGCAGTGAGGGCTTCACAAGAATGATCAACCTACACATTAACTCCACCTATCTGGGCAGCTACAACACAGGCAATCACCCATTGATAAGCCACTTGGCTTTTGCAGATGACCTAGTGGTTTTCCTCAATGGGGACACTAGAAACTTGAAAAAATTTAGAAGGATTTTAGAGGACTATCAGAAAGGGTCTGGGCAACAAGTGAACCTTAACAAGAGCAGCTTTTATACTGGGAAGAAGGTCAACCAAACTAAAATTGCTTCAATGTCCAGAAGTCTTTGTATGGATCATGGGACACTCCCCTTCACTTATTTAGGTGCAACTATGGTTAAAGGCAAGTTAAGAAAACAACATTGTTCTAAGCTCCTGAATCACTTTGACAGATATCTTAACTCTTGGTTTAGCACCACTCTCAATCCCATGGGGAGACTTGTGTTGATCAAACATGTACTCTCATCCATACCTTTACATATCACAGATGTCCACACCATCCCCCAATCAATTATACAGATTCTCCACAGAAAGATGGCAAATTTCCTATGGGGATTCAAGAATGGTAAACCTAAATACCACTGGAGCAAGTGGAACAACCTGTGTGTACCAACTAATGAAGGAGGACTTAACTTGAGAAGCCTAGAAGATTTACAGGAAGCCTACTCCATCAAGCTATGGTGGAAAGTTCAAACAGACAACACTAAGTGGGCTAAATTCATGAGAATCAAATACCTTAGACAGTCTGATTTTAAGGAAATAATTTATGACTCTCCAACTTGGAAGAGAATCTGCAGAATCAATACCACTGCCAGGGAACATACTTCAGAGGAAGGAGATCACATCAGCTGGGGTGAGGGGGATTTCTCACTTAAAAACGCCTATAACATTTGTAGAATGTCTAAGCCTACTCAACTCAATTTTTCATACTGTTGGAATAATGCTCAAATCCCTAAGGTAAAATTCTTCCTTTGGAAAGCACTGAACTATTATCTACCGTTCTTTGATAACCTAAAACGCATGGGGTTTCATGTAGTATCTATCTGCCACCTCTGCAAGAACAATGAGGAAACCATTGACCATGTTTTCCTACAGTGTAATTGGAGCCAGAATCTGTGGCATTTCTTTGCAGAAGCAGTAGAGGGACCAAGATCAAGACAATCTTTAACCCTAAACCAACACGTCATGGAATGGAACTTATCCCATAGAAGAAGGACACTCAAAGGTCAACTACGCATCATCCTCCCAAGGATCATTGTATGGCACATTTGGAAGGAATACAATAGAATAATCCACGACAATGGTTTCATTAACATCAACAAGGTTCGCTACAAAATTCTAAATACACTCAAGGATTGGAGCTGGACAAACAGACGGAAAAAATGGATGCTAAGGGATAATAATCTAGCAAACCTGGGTTTCAATTTCTTCTTCTTGTCTGGGAAAGAATTGAAAGGAAGAGTTCCTACGCTTCAGATCAACCCACAGAGGAATGGTGAATGCTCATATCGCAGAGGAGAGGGCTAACTTCCAAGTTTCTTGGAGTGAGTACGAGGATAGTTGGACATCTAGATTTGGTACTATGTAAGAGTTTAAGCTTTTATCCTTCTTGGTGCTACCTTTCCTTTTCATTGGATTTTGTGTTTCTTTGTATTATTCATTGCTTTCGGGGTTAGGTCAGGTCCCCCGAACGTGTTTTGATCGTTTACTTCCGGAGCTTTGGTCTAGTCCTCTCCGAACGTGTACTAAAATAGTTTATTTAATAATACTTGGTAAGGGCTGCCTGGACCTTACCCCACCGCAATTGGTGGATTTTTTGGGTTTTATATATATATATGTATGTGTCTATATATATGTGTGTGTATATATATATATATATATATATATATATATATAACCCGAAAAAGAAACCACTAATCAGTGGGGTAAGGTTCAGGCCATCCTTACCAAGTAGATTAAAGCAAGGAATGTACAAGAAGCTTTTGGGCCAACCCGACAACAGTGTTAGGAAAGGCCCAAGAAGGAAAAAAGCCAATTACAATCAAAGGAAAAAATACATCAGGCAACGCTAATCAGTCTGCTTCTTCATTGGGAAGCCGGCGTGATCATCTAGAGAGGTAAGGTTTGAGATTTAGAGCTTGAATATCCTCGTCTGTGGCTATCTTCTGCACCTTTTTATTTGACCAGTACCAGTGATGCACTAATTTTTGAATCTCTAAGATAATTCCCATATTTGTGATGTTGCGTTCTTCATAAATGCTTCGGTTATAAGCCTTCCAGAGATTCCATATGATGCATACAGGTAAGATGAGCTTGAGTAGACCTCTAATAGTGTATTTGTTGTAATTCTCCCACCAGTGAAGCATATAGTTGCTTAGGTCTGTGCCCTGAGACCAGTTAGGCTCCCCTACATAATCTGCAAAAGCCTTCCAAATTTGTTGAGAAAGGATACAAGTAAGTAGGATGTGTTGATCAGACACTTCCTCTTTTTCGCAGAAAGGGCATTTGCTAGGCAGATTATAAGATAGTTTCCTTAGAATGTTAGGAAAGGGAAGGAAATGATGAATAGCTTTCCAGAAAAAACAACTTGATCTTGGGGATTTGGAATTTGTTCTAGATAAGAGTGTTCATTCGAGTACTGATATCTCTATCCCTTACAGCCCAATATGCCTCTTTGAAAGTAAATTTCCCATTAATCCACTTGGGAGTGGAACTGGTCATGTATGTGTTTTGCAGGCCAATTGTTGAAATTCTACAGATTCTTTTCCAGGAGGCCATACAATTTGGTCTCAAATAATCCATCCCTGTAGTATTTATTCTTCACAAAATTAGACCATAAAGAATTGGCATTAATCACCTTCCACCATAACTTCAAAGCACAAGCCTTCTGTAAGTCCTCCAATCTTCTCAGCCCTAGTCCTCCTTCCCCTGTAGGCTTGCAGAGAGCAGTCCATTTGGCCCAGTGATGTTTACTCTTTCCCAATTTAGTACCCCAAAAGAAATTGGCTAGTTTGCCCTGGATAATATTAATGATAGATTTGGGGAGATCTTGCACAGCTACGGTATATATATATATATATATATATATATATATATATATATATATATATATATATATATATATATATATATATATATATATATATATATATATATATATATATATATATATATATATATATATATATATATATATATATATATATATATATATATATATATATATATATATATTTATA